AAAAAAAAAAAAAAAAAAAATAGCAAGGATAGTACATTGTGCCAAGGCAAGTCCTCTGATTCCCTTTAACATGCCGGATTTGCAGCGGGGTGGTGGCGCACGCCTTTAATCCCAGTACTCGGGAGGTAGAGCCAGGCGGATCTCTGTGAGTTTGAGGCCAGCCTGGTCTACAGGCTCCGAAGCTATACAGAGAAACCCTGTCAAAAACAAAACAAAACAAACAACCATGCTGGATTTGCAAGGTGCCAGATGTCAAACAGTAAACATAAGCAAAGGTGACCTGAGTGGAGGTGGATGAGTATCTTTCTTTGCAGGAGATGGCATTAGAAACCACAGCACAACTAACACTTGAAACATTGTCACAGATCAGTCACTGAGGAACTAGCCAATGGGTGACTGGTCTGCTTCTGTCTGTTAAGGTATATTGGAAAAAATCATCTCAGCTCCAGCTCTAGATACTAACTACACATACAGAACTTGTAATTAGTGTGTCCTACATCATCAAGGCTAAAGGTACCTACAGAAAAGGCAGTAGCTTCGGTCCTACACCAGGAAGAAGGAGGCGACCCTGCATAATGGAGCCACTTAGGCCTTGTCAGAGACAGGTTAACCTCCAGACACAGAACAGCTACACTGTTCTCAGGGCCCTGTCCCTCCAGGTGTCCCCTTGACAGTGCAGGTCAGTGTCATCTGTTGATGGGTCTAGGTGCCTTTTGGGATAGATACACCCTCCTTTCCTTTCTTATACCAGCCCAGGACCCCAGGTTAATATGGGAGACCTAGACTCATTCCTCAAGAAAAGGATACCTTTGAAGTCTAACTCGTAGCTGTGTTTTCCAGCCTGGAACTTCAAGGTGGCTGCCTGGGAATCAGCCCCTGGGTCACAAAATGCCAGGTAAGCCTTTTCCACGTCACTGCTGCTGATGGTGGTCACAGGGTGCACTGTACCCTGTAAGGGGAAATCCAGAGATGTCAGGAGGCAAGAGCCTGTAGTGATGGCAAAGATGCTAGTCAAGGCAGCCCCTGTTCTAGACAGATGACCTTATAGGGAAAGAGGAGGGGATCGGGGAGCAAGGGAGCAGGGGGAGGGGGAGGGGATTTGGAAGGGAAGTGACATGACTCTCCTGAAGCTATTCTTGTGAACAGAAGACAGTATGAATAGGTCCTGCTAAGCAGGGTAACCAGGATGCAAGTAATAAAAAAAGCATAGGACAGCAAGATGGCTCAGCAGGAAAAGGTACTTGCCACCAAGGCAGATAACCTAAGTTCAATCCTTAGAACACATGATAGAAAGAGAGAATCAACTGCCAGGATTTGTCCTTCGACTTCCACATCCACACAGTGGCATGAGCACACCCACACACATACATATACACAAATACAAATACAAGCATTTTAAACATTCTTCAGAATAGATGGTACAAACGACGGCAAACCACCAACAGCGAATTCACCTAGGCTCCTCGTAACCATCCGCGTAACCAATGAGCTCAGGAAAGGCTTCTTCTACTGCTAGGGCTGGTCTCATTCCCTTCTCCCTCCAGTCAGGCTGAGTCCTTTTCTGTGTTGTTCTTTCTATAGTCTCTTGGAGGACCTTCTACTTTTCCAGTTATTTATTTCAATCCCTTATTTTCTCTGCACTTACCTACTAGAAAATATTTGGGATTGGATGGACTAAATGTGAATTCTGAGTTTTTGCTATGATTTAGATATGGCTTGTCTCTCAGGGGTTTATGTTCTAAAGGATAGTCTCCAGGACGGGGTGGGGCTTTAAGAAGGAGGACCTGAGGCTGTAGGGATGGCTCAGAGGCTAAGAGAACTTATTGCTATTGCTGAGGACCTAGGTTTAATTCTCAGTGCTCACTTGGCAGCTAACTGGTCTGTCACTTGAGTTCCAATGGTACCTGAGGCCCTCTCTGGCTTCTGCAGGTACATGGTATGCAGGCAAAATATCCACATACAGAAGATAAAAAAAAAATCTCTTCACTAATCACAAGTTCTACAATGTATGGACAAAACAATAAATCAAACAAAATCTGTCCCTGCTTCTCAGAAACAGTAAAGCAAGAAAGGAGGGAAAATAAAAAGCAAGTAGTTAGATCAATACATCGTGTCCAAGTGTCCCATGGTTCTTTGGGTGACAGAGAAGCTACAGGCACTTGCTGAGAATGACCTCTGCTGAGGCACAACCCAGCCAAGCTTCCTGGAAGAAAACAAATACAAGTCAAGGCCTAAGCCCGAGAAGAACAGCTTGGCTCTGTGAAGATGGTCAGGGAAGGGGTAGTAGGTATATGGTTTGGAAGGAATGTATTTTATGGTCCTATAATAGTGCCCAAGTTTCTCCCTTTAAACTGTCATACTCCAAAACTAAATTATTAGGTTATAATTTGGAAGAATGAGGAGGCAGTATATAAATCCCTTCCAGACAGTGAAGGGGAAAAAAGAGAAAATAGATCCTTTTCAGTCAAAGGAAATGAAGGAAAGAAAGCAGAGAAGAGACATGGAGTCAGACACGTATCTTAAGCCTCTGCCCCAAACCTTAAAGTCAAAAGTCCTTAACACAGGTTATCCCAGGGAAGACAAGGAAGGCAGCCAAACAGAAAGCAAAAGCAAAGGGATGTTGGCTGTAGTCTGGAAGAAGAGACCAGTGGTTAAGCTGAGGAAACCCAAGGTTAGCACTTTGAGAGACTAGTAAGATTTGGAGGAATGAAAAATCCCCATGTGTTCTAAGGTGGGTCTGGTTGATTCTGACATTAAATTCTGAGGTACATTCTAAACTCAGAAACAAACGTAGCTGTTCTGAAAATCAAGAGAAAACTGGTTTGAAAATGGAAGTTAGTGGGTGGGGACAACGACAAAGAACCCAGTTATATGAAAAGAGATCGCCCCAAGGCTATACAGCTCCCACTGTAAAGGAGACCTAAGAGCCCATTGAGCCCCTCTGTGTCTCCACACCCTAACAGCATGGGCACACCAATGGCATCCACATGCAGTTCATTTCTAGGGATTCACAAATTGTCCTAAACAAGTTTATAGACTGTAAACAAAGAGTAAGAACATGCAAACATGAAGTGCGGACTGTTGGAAGGGAAAAGTCTCCAACCCTGGGCTTGACAGTGCAGGCTGGGAAGCCGTCCAGAGACCTACTTTTGCATGAGTGCCGTCAGAGCCCTGTGTGTTATATCAACAAGACTGTCCCTGTCTTCCCCCAAGAGCCAGAGATCATCAAATAAAATAGGACTGTTGCCTTTGGTAAGTGTTTCTAGCCTGTCATTGATCTCAAAATCTTGTAAGCAGGCAAGCCAGACTCATGGAACATGCTCAGCCAGTGTCTCTCTCCTCTCTTCCGTGTTAGGCCCCAGCCTCCTTCTCTCATGCTCCTGACCAATCTGATTAGAAAATGTATCTAAATGAGGCCACATACAGGTAAGACCTCCCAGGATACTGGAGAAGAGAGGAGAAAAAGCAGTAGTGGGGGAGAAAGGCCAGAGCAGCAGGTAAAGCTGGTGCCAGGGAGAAACTACAGAAAGAAAGAGGGTATTCGTCAACAAGGCCAGCACTAACAGTAAAGTAACGAGCTCCAGCTCGCTGGCAAACAGAAGCAGCAATCCCTTCTCTGACAGCCATCTATTTCTGAAGAAGCTGCAATGTACCATTCTAAGCATGGAAGATGCACCCACGGTAAAAGAGAAACATCCCGTCCTCATGGAACTTACATAAAAACGTGATCAGAGAAGAGCATTCTGAGTGTAGTTAAGAACAAGAAACCAAAGCCTCGGTACAACCTCCAACAAGCCAGGAGTGCAAGTACCCATCGGGTCCCACAGGTAATTCTCACTGGGGAAAGGGATCTCTACGTAAACGGCTCTCTCTGCAGACTACACTTCTGTACGTCCCCAGAGACTCCTTTTAATCTCAGCCTCTGTAGACACCTTCATGGAATTGGCAGTGAGCTACCCGATTTGCGTTCCAAATCAATAGCTGATATAAACCAATATTCTCACACATTGCTATCTTCTGAAATTGTGGAAACAGGCAAGAAAGGCAATTTGAAAGCCTTCAACTTTATACTACAGTTTAAGCGCTAGCTCCAGAGTTTTTTATTAATAAAATCAATGAAGGAGACTGCCACCATGACAGTTATATCACATTCAATTCTCATGAGCCGAGATGTCTAATCATTCAAAGACGGGCTTGTACAGATGTACTGTCATCCAGATATCTGAGGATCCTGGTGTCCACCAAGTACGCTCCCTGGCATCTTTGTGCTTTTGTTTAGAACGGCTTCTCCATCTTATACGAAACGGTCATCCTTTTCATCATCACACTTACTTGTCTTCCATATTCCTGCCAAGAACCAAACTCATCCATCCAGTACCAAACCCAGTCAGTAGTGAGGATGAAATGCGGGGGTTTGGTGACAGAAGAAGCTGTGGAGAGTCGGCGAGCCACGGTACTACCAAACTTCATGGACTCAAAGTTTAAATCAAAGCGAAAGCTAGTAGCTGACTCTGTGTACAGAATCCTGAAAAAGAAAATGAAGAGATTAAAACTTCACGAATTAAACAACACAGGTCATTCTGCTTCTACCAATGAGAATATGTGATGTGCAAATAATAAACGTGTCATACAGTTTTACAAATGGTTCTAGAGGTAGGGAGACCTGTTTTACAAGATTGTCACTTCTGCTGTGTAAAAACTAAAATCAGGGTGATACAGAAGACTGGTTATCATGAAAATCCTTTCACTGTAAAATTCAGAAAATGCTGATTAAAACATTCCTTTTTCAAAATAATTAGGACTGGGGATGTGGCTAGGGGAGAGCACTGGCCTAGCATGAACAGCCAGTTTGGTCTCCAAGGGTTTGATCTCCAAGGCTACAAAAATAAAATGCATTACTAAGCTGTAAAAAAAAAAAAAAAAGAGGCCGGGCGGTGGTGGCGCACGCCTTTAATCCCAGCACTCGGGAGGCAGAGCCAGGCGGATCTCTGTGAGTTCGAGGCCAGCCTGGGCTACCAAGTGAGCTCCAGGAAAGGCGCAAAGCTACACAGAGAAACCCTGTCTCGAAAAACCAAAAAAAAAAAAAAAGAAGAGAAATCCTTGGAAAACAAACTAACAATAGTTATCATGAACTGAGCCAGCCCCTCCATAAAATAATTTATGTATAGTAGAATCAATCTTTACAACTCTATGGGATCAGTCTATTATCTCCAATGTAACAACTGGAAAACAAAAGCTAAGAAACACATCTGAGCAAAAACAGCCAACAAACAAGGTCTGAAGGAAGCAGTGTGTCAGCACAGCCTGCCTGGCTGCCACCAGACCAGGCTCCTTTCCAAACGGAATGCTGCTCAAAGACCAAAGGGAGTCACAAAACCAGAAACCAAAGTGAGGAGAGTGTCCATGAGTAATGATGAGTTTTCAGCAGCACAACAGGGAGGTGGGGACACATGCAAATGTGGTATCTGGATAAGAAAGGAGGCCAAGTCCAAGGAGATTTTTTTCCCTCTAGTGTTGGATACCGAGCTAAGGACTTCACACACTAGGAAACCACTCCTCAATTAGCTATATCCCAGCTCTCTTTTCATTTTGAAGTAGTCATTAAGTTGCCCAGGCAGGTCCTGAACTTGTGAACCTCCTGCCTCACCTTCCCAACTAGATGGGATTACAGACCTACACCACAGACCCAGCTCAGAAGAGATACTTCTAGCCAGGCCTGGTAGCACACACCTGTAATCCCAGTACTTAGGAGGTCTAGGCAGGATCAGAAGTTCAAGGTCATTCTCTGCTGCTCAGTGAGCTGAGGCCAGCCTGGGTTACTTGAGGCTCCATCTGGACAAAAGAGAGCTTGGGGTGAGGCAGAGGGAGGAGGGGGAAGAGAGACCAGAGACAGGTTTCTGTACAGCTAGGTCCAGGAACACGCCATGTCAGAGCAGTCAGGAAGGACAGTGGCTGCATGCACACTGGCTCTGGAGGGAAGAGGAAAACTTCCCCAGGACTCTCAATCATTCAAGCCTCAAAGTTTGAGAATGGTTCACACTTCTATGTTAGAACCAGCTATAAAGATAGTGGTTCCCAAAGCTGGGTGGTGGTGGCACACGCCTTTAATCCCAGCACTCGGGAGGCAGAGCCAGGCGGATCTCTGTGAGTTCGAGGCCAGCCTGGGCTACCAAGTGAGTCCCAGAAAAGGCACAAAGCTACACAGAGAAACCCTGTCTCGAAAACCAAAAAAAAGATAGTGGTTCCCAGAAAAGCAAACATAATTCCCTGGAGGAACTCACCTCACAAAAAGTTCCACAAATCAAGTCTCATCAAACATGATCTCAAAATCAAATCGAACAACACATGTGGAAAAAATGTGAAAAAATATAGTTGATGAAAACAAATAGAATCAGACTACTGAGGCTACAAACTAGCATTCTAAGATACAAACATGTGTAATGTGGTTCTTTTTAGTAATTATCAAAAGTCTAAGTTAGGGTTATGAGACTGAAAAAAACTGACCAGGTAAACTTGATGAAAAACAAGAACACTTAGGAATAAGTAATATAATATCATAAATTTTAAAGACACAGATGGGACTCACTGGATCTCAGATGAGGCTGAACTAGTGGCCTGGGACTCTGAGAAGAATTCCCCTAAATGCAGCCAAGAGAAGAAAAGGAATCGAAAGGGAAGTTAGGAGAATAAAAGACAAAGTGAAGACTTCTCAGCCTACCACTTCATCAGAATTCCAGAAAGTGGACATGTGTCTGCATTAAAATCATAAAGACACAGTTCTCCCCAAACTCACTACAGTCGATGTAATTTCAAATAAAAAACACAGCAGAGTTATCTGTCAGCTGATGAAAACTTTAAATTCCTAAAGAGCAAAATGGCAAGATCCAGAAGTAGAAGCAGCAGCAGCAAGAGGATGAGGAGGAGGAAGAGCCTTTGCCTTCCCAGATGCCAGAACTCAGTATTAAGCTCCAATGGGTGAGAGACAGTGTGGGACTGATACAGACAGGCACTGCCCAGAGGCCAGAAGACAAGAGACACAGTGACCAACACAGGAGGCTGGTCACATTCCATCCTTTCCACACTCGCCTTCAGTGCCTCCTGTGCTGCTGAAATAGAAAATGAGCTGAAATGAGCTAAGGTGTGGTAACATTTTACCAAATTTGGCTCTCTTTTGGTGGTTTTAAAATAAGCTTCCAGAAATGAGTAGTCATGAGCTTGTATAATATGAGTGTACTCAGTAGTTTAAATTTTATGGCAGGTATTTTAATCATGAGCAAATTAATTAAAACTTTTCAAAGTAGGTATTGGAGAAACTGGTGATTCACCTAAGAATGAAACTGAGCTCAAATTTAATCACATAAAAGAGAATTTGAAGATAGTGTTATACTTAAAATCTTCACTTTTAGAAGAAAACTCAGGAGAATTTCTTTTTGTTATTGGAATAAAGGAAGACTTCTTTCTTTCTTTCTTTTTTTTTTTTTTTGTTTTTGATTTTTGGAGACAGTGTTTCTCTGTGTAGCTTTGTTGCCTGTCCTGGAACTCACTTGGTAGCCCAGCCTGGCCTCGAACTCAGAGATCTGTCTGGCTCTGCCTCCCAAGTGCTGGGATTAAAGGTGTGCGCCACCACCACCCGGCAAAAGGAAGATTTCTTAAGACACATAAAGTACAAAACCATAAAAGAAAAGATGGATAAATATTTCTCTGCATTAAAGACACTACTAGCTGATTAAAAGAGTTGATTTTTGTAACTCACATTTAATATGCAGAAATGTAGAGATTGCCTCAAAATAAATGAATAGGTAAAACACAGCTCTCTTTACTCCCAAATACATTTAAGGATGGACAGTGAACCAAAAACAGTCAATGGACACATGGAAAAACTTTCCTTCACTGAAAATCAGGGCTATGCAAACTGAGAAAACACTTTACACTCTTGACTGGTTAGTATGTAAACGTTCAGCAGTACCAGAATTGGGGGTCCACGTCATTAAACCATGCTAATGGGAGTGGGAAGTACTACAGTCACCTGACAAAGCCGGGGACGGACACAGCAGACTCCCCAGAAGACCCCTTTGGAAACTCCCACAGAGACACACGGACAGGTGCACAGAAGATCAGTCCAGCACAGTCCTGGACTGGTGTGGTGGTACAACCCTGTAATCTCAGCCCTTGGGAGGTCTTGGCCAGACTGACAGGTTATGGACAGCCTGTGCTGCACAATGAGACCCTGTCTCAAGCAAAACTGAAAATTTTTAAAAAGCAAAAGGAAAGAAACCACAGTGTTGTGAGACTCCAGGCATGTCAGCACACAGCAAATGGTTCAACTTATAGGTCCAAGAACTAACAAAACCAGTCTAAGGTGAGAAAAGCCAGTGAAGACAGCTTTGGAAAGTGAGCTGAATAGAGACTCTTCTAGGGTGATGAGACACTATCTCAATCGGACTGCTGGCTACATAAGCAAATACATTTGTCAAAAATCACTGAGCTGAATACTTGAAATATTTATACACAACACTGTCTAAAACTTGCTTCAAATAGAAAGATTATGGGTGGTATGTGAGCTATTTAATCTTCCTAAGGGGAATAATTTGTTTCACATTCTTAGCCAATAGCAATTTGCACATATGCACACTAAATTCAAAATCATTTTAGATATTCAAATTCTCTTTTTAGGCGGCTCAGTGGTTAAGAGCACTTGCTGCTTTTATAGAGGATCAGAGTTTGGTTCCCAGTACCCACAGTGGTAGCTCACAACTGCCTATAACTCTAGGCCAGGGGATCCAATACCCTTTTGTGACCTATGCGGGCACCTATACTCACATGCACCTACATACACACAGATATACACATAGATATAACCAATAATAAAATAAATACCAAACTCTTTTCCTTTTAGTAAAGATTTATTTGTTTTTATTTTATATCTATGGGTATTTTGTCTGCATATATTCACCACGTTAGTGCAGTGTCTAAGGAGGCCAGAAGAGGGCATCAGATCCTCTACTACTGGAATTGCAGACCGTTATTAGTGGTCAAGTGGGTTCAAATGCAGGGGCTCTGGCAGAGCAATGAGTAATTTTTGCTACTAGGCCACCTCTCCAGTCCATGTCCAAATTAAAAATTTTTAAATTACCTTTTTAGCAACATATTGCAGCACATTTTAATCCAAGTTATGGCCAAATATTTAAAAGAAGGCTATCTGAGATTTCCTTATTTACTATGAATTGGCTGAGTGAAAATGCTAAGAAAAAACTTAAAAGAATAAAAACATTCAGGTTAAACAGTTTAGCTGTGTGACTTTACGGAAAAGATTAGAAATTCACAAATTATTATCTGTATTTTCTGCAATAATGAATAACTGCATATGTGATCAATCCTAGCAGCAAGTAATTGAGGATACTTGGTCTTGGTACCACCTTCTTTTCTCACAGCTCCTCACTGAATGGAGGAGAGTGGGAGAACAGATAACTGACTGCTAGGATAAACACAGGCTTCCATCTCCCAATCAAGCTGATGTGATGGTGCGTGTGCATGTGTGTGCTTGTGTGTGCGTGTGCGTGTGTGTGTGTCTGTCTGTGTACACATGTGCCTATGTATGTTCATTCTATTGTTTAAACTAAATCCCTTATACTGTACACAAAAGGCCAGGTACAAAGCCTGGATGAGGGGTGCGTTTTCATTCTCCTACCTCTCTTTACTGGGGTTACTATAAGCCTCTTCAATAAGCTCCATGTTGTTCAAATCCTTCCATTTGCCTCCATCCAAGAACTGCCACCGATATGGCAAATGGAAATGAACTCTATAGCACTTATCTAAAATAGAAACATAAGCAGTAAGACACCCTAGCAGTAAACAGTGTGTCCCCACCCTACAATTATCGATGGGAGTGGTCCTGATCACTGACCTGAGAACATTCTGAGAAGTTATGAGGAAGTTGTGCTTTGTTAGTGCAGTTACAGCTGGGCATCTACATACTGGAATACTATGGGTCTTATCATGTGTGTCTTTCCTTTAAATGAGACATTTCAATATTTTTTTTAAAATGTGTAGGTCTAGAATGTCATTTCCTGACTATAAAGGTGATCATAAGAAGGTCATTGGTCCCAGCCCTACAGGGGTCAGTCAAGATGCTCCTTGTCTCTATGCACACCACAGCATGTGTATGAGCAGATATCAGATTCCAGATTTAACTCCAACAGTCATCTATCCCAGAATCTAGCTTGATGGTTGAGGCCTATAATCCCAGCTACTTGGGAGGCTGAGGCAGGAGGATCACAAATTCAAATTAAAAACAGGGTTGGAAATACAGTTCAGTGACAGAGCACTTGCCTAGCATAGACAAAAACAACCTTAGCTGGGTTCAATCCCTAGTAGGAAGGAAGGGAGGGACGAGAGGTGGGGGAAAGGAGAAATCCATCCGACTTCAACGCATCCCACTGAAGGTGGCTTGGCAATATAGTTCCAGCTGATGAGATGTCCTCTGGGTACCTGCCTAGAGACTTACCCTTCCTCAACATACCCCAGCATGTCTTCACATACACTGCTCTGCCCATCAGTGCCCATGTCCTCCCCTTGACTTCTGTCTTTTAGGTGCCACAGGGCTCAGGGCCTCCACTTCAAGCCCTTGCACCCTGCCTCGTCTTTGCTTATGCTGGCTCTGACATCCTTTCAAAAGCCCTGTGAGTTCTCAACACATCTGTACAGAGATGGGGGGAGGGGTTGGAAAAAAGGCCTAGAAAGTTCACTGAATTCTGACATGGAGGTATAGTCAAGATGTAAACTATTAGATACTCAACCAGGTGCAGAATGTTTCTATATACAAAATAGGAGACAGAGATTAGTAGAACTCTAACTAAATACACGAATATATGCAGATATTTCTTGTAGAGGAATGAGGAAAGACTTCCTCCATTTTGCACGTTTCTAACTGAGTTATAAGAATGTATTCTATAGTCTCCAAAAGTCAGCAACTGGTCATGTGAAACCAAGAAAGTACAAGTGTGCTAGTGCTGTATGCGAACAAACCGAATACACATTAGAGACACACACACACCAGGAAATGTATAACATCGTTCTAGACAGACACCCAAGGACCAGGAAATCATTTTTTGTTTTAGAGGACCTACCTGGCTGCTAAGGAAAAGGAGGAGATGAAGATTCATTTCTTTCTCAATATCAGATCTTTCCCAGAGTCTACAAAAAGCACTGTGGTGGGGGAGTACCACAGAGGGACATGCTGGCCTTGCTAGGGCTTGTCAAAGAACAGGCCAGGAGCTGGACAGACACAGTAAAAAGGAGCAGTTAGGCCAAGAGGCCTCAGAAAACAAGCTGCAGGTGTCCAGGCAAGGAAAGCTCTTAAATTCAACAAGGCAGGACACAGCCATCTTGGGGACTTGCAGCTCGCTGATCTGTAGAGTTTGGGCTTATATGACTCACAGTAGGCTCAGAGATCTACTGGATTATTGACAAGGAGTGTGCCTACCCAACAATGAAGTACTGGGTCAGGCTGCAGTTATGGTCCAGAGGTTGTGACCAAATCAGAGTTCCTATTCCCTCTTTGAAGGGCACTAAAGGAAATGATTAGAAGTGGGCAGAATGCACCCAAGTGTTGAAATGTTATGTTGATAAACTCCAAGTACAGGCAAATTCTGGGTGGCCCAAGGAAAACCTCCCTGGAAGAAAATACCTCCTAGGGAACAGTATCTCCCCCACACTCACCATACTGAGACCACAGAAAGGACCCAGGGACCCAGGGCTGTGGCTAACAGCAGGCTTGGAACTGAGTGTAAAGTCCCAAGCTTCTCATAGGAGGAGCTCCTCATGGAGCTGGAGGCTCATGGGAGAGAGCACCTCAACCACAGCAGCTGGCAAGAACTCTGGCCCAGCAGTAGGAACAGACCCTTCCGTGTCATCTTCCCTGACCCTCCACCCTCTTTTTATCAGCTTCCTCACTTCCCTTCTAATGTTCCCCAACTCAACACAATCCAGACTAGGCTTCCCAGGTGAGTTATGCAAATAGAGTCAACTTGGAAGGCAAAGCACCCACATCCATCTCCACTGCCTCCCTATACCCCTTGATACAACAGGGTAGAGAGAAGAGTAAATGTAATGGAAGCAATAAGAAGTACTACAAATAAAACAGGATCCTTCAAGAACCCCTAAACTACAAAGCAAGCAGAATAAAATTGAAAGAAAATGAAAGAAAAATAAATATTTTAAAAACAAGAATGAAGGGGCTAGAGAAATGGTTCAGTGGTTAAGAGCACTGGATGCTCTTCCAGAGGATGCAGGTTCGAAACCCAGCACTGACACAGTGGCTCAAAACCTTCTGTAACTCCAATTCCAAGGGATCAGACACCCTCTTCTGGCTTCCTTGGGCACTAGGCACAAACAAGGTGCATAGACACACATGAAAGCAAAGCACCCCTACACCAGATAAAATGTAATCTGAATGGATAAAGTGTAATACAAAGCAGCACATCATACAGCAAGTGTGCCATGGGAAGGATGAAGGAAGACTTTCTGCTCTGCTCTGTAATTATCCAACTCCTTCACAAAGTGAAAACAGTCAGGAACTGCTTGAGTGACGTCTAAAGACTGAAATGGAACACACTGTTTTGGTGGCTGCAGTCACAGAAGCTGAGAAAGAATCTTCAGTCCAAGGCTAAGTTGTCAGTGAAGAACGCAAAGCTTCTGTGAAAACATTGACCCACACAAGAATTACTGTTTGTAGAAAAGGATAGGTAAAGGTCCCAAGCAGGGACCACTGGCCTAATAACGGAGAAACCCTGAGCAATCCTTCAAGTGCGAATACAAGTGTTCCTCCTCTTCACTGAGGTCTTCCTAGTTTCTGAGACTCCTCTAGGCCAACTGTCACCCTTCAGAAGTGGCAATTCTTTCAGCTTCCACTAGACTGAGCAGCCTCATTTCATAAAGTTCTGTGGTCACTTGACACTCCCCTGGTAGAGATCCAGATTGTTATATTCCCAAAAACTCATTTACAGTTTCATTTTCAAAAATTCAAGTAATCTCTTCCATTCTCAACAAAGCAGATTCAGAACTAGTTTGGCAAGACCACGCCTCTCTGTAGGGGTGCCTCAAAGCAGTTCCAGGAATGAGAAGCAGTCTCCCCTCCCATGAGAGGAAAGAGCTTCTAACTTACCTTGAAAGCTACAACTTTTCCGAATGTGGTACAAGCAAATCTGATCACTCTCCTCCTGGGTAGGAGCACCTGGTGACGCAGAACCTGAACTGTCTTTTCTTTCTACAAAAAACACCACACAATATGTCAGTGTCCATTGATGCTTTTCATGTAGGATTACAGCACTTCATGGCAAAAAGGAAGACAAAATCTATTCATCTCCTGCACAGGACAAAAGTGACCTAGGCAAACTGGAGAACCTATCCTTCAAGGATAAGAGCACCCCAACCACACAGGTAGGCACCTGACTTTTAGGGTGAATCCTACAACACTCAGCCATACAGCTTTTTACTAAACCCAGGACACCACAGAGGGGTATTTCTTTTTCAACTCTTACTATATCCATCCAAGTTACTAGAAAAGAAAAAAATTGAAGGGCATTTAAAACAATCATATTTAGTTTCTATGGCAAATATTTGTCAATGAAGTCTTTAGAACTGGGTACTAATAAGAAAAAGGTAATTAATATATGGGAAGTTTTCATCTCCAAATAAAATATTCTTCATTTTAGTTTGCTTATAAGCTCTTAAGTTCTTTCAAAGTGTACCTTTCTCATTACCACTCTGTGAGACTTTACCTATTACATTTATCCCATCCACTTAACCCAAGTAAGAGAAAAACCTCTACAACCTTTCCTCCCATGCCATCCTATCCCCTGTACTTCTGCTATCCACATCTTTCCTTTTCATTCTGTAAACTCCCAGATGTTCCGCAGGCTGGGCCTCCAAACCCACACCTGGGAGACCCTGTTTGTAAGACCTGAGACACTCAGAAGCAGATCCTCCCCTCATTTTTTATAAAGTCATAATCCAGATAATGCTCTAACCATTATCTAAAGCAAAACCTTCGTAGAGCTGGGGATTAAAAAAGCATCTGAAGAGACAGGGAGGGCAACTCAGTCAGTGCTTGCCCTGCAGGCTTGAGGGCCACAGGTCAATCCCCCAGAACCCACATTTTTAAAAGTCTGAGTGGGGCTGAAGAGATGGCTCCACAGTTAAGAGCACTGGCTGTTCTTCCAGAGGACCCCATATTCATTTTCCAGCATTTGCATGGCCTCCAACTGTCTGTAACTCTAATTCAAGGGATCCGACACCATCTCCTGGACTGTGGCCACCAAGGACTCAAGTGGTGCACAGACAAGCAAGACACACGTGTACACACGTACACACACGTGTACACACACACACACACACACACACATACACACACACACTCAAACTGAAGAAAATACAAAGAAAAACTAGAGGCAGCAAAAATAATCTTTAACTCCGACAATCAGGTAAGACTGCAGTAGTTGATACGTTTGCTGGCTGTCTTGGCACTGACCTGATATTTTAGGGAAAGTTATTTATTTATTGATTGATTGATTGATTGATTTTTCGAGACAGGGTTGCTCTGCGTAGTTTTGCGACTTTCCTGGAGCTCACTTGGTAGCCCAGGCTGGCCTTGAACTCAGAGATCCACCTGCCTCTGCCTCCTGAGTGCTGGGATTAAAGGCGTGTGCCACCACCGCCCAGCTAAAGAACTTTTTTTTTTTTTTTTGGTTTTTCGAGACAGGGTTTCTCTGTGTAGCTTTGCGCCTTTCCTGGAACTCACTTGGTAGCCCAGGCTGGCCTTGAACTCACAGAGATCCACCTGCCTCTGCCTCCTGAGTGCTGGGATTAAAGGCGTGTGCCACCACCGCCCAGCTCCAGCTAAAGAACTTTAAGGGCAGGTTTTTTTTTTGTTGTTGTTTTGTTTTTTTGTTTTTTTTTTTTTGAGACAGGGTTTCTCTGTGTAGTTTTGGAGCCTGTCCTAGAACTCACTCTGTAGCCCAGGCTGGCCTTGAACTCACAAAGATCCTCCTGGCTCTGCCTCCCAAGTGCTGGGATTAAAGGCGTGTGCCACCACCGCCCGGCGGGAAAGTTCTATTAAAAATATTTTCTATATCAACATCTAAATGAGTAGATGGATAAAATGATGTGCTCTTTGGGGGAGGCCTGTTCTCATGTTTACAAAAGGCTAACTAGCTGGGCGGTGGTGGTGCACACCTTTAATCCCAGCACTCGGGAGGCAGAGGCAGGCGGATCTCTGTGAGTTCAAGGCCAGCCTGGGCTACCAAGTGAGCTCCAGGAAAGGCGCAAAGCTACACAGAGAAACCCTGTCTCGAAAAACCAAGAAAAAAAAAGAGAGATGCTTATTAAATAAAAACCTTTAGCCAGGCACAAAGGCATACACTTACAGCCTCAGCTACTAGGGAGACTGAAGCAAAAGGCCATTTTGCCTAATTTGAGGCCAGTGTGGAGAAAAGAGTAAGATGTCACTTCAAACACCGGTAACATCTTATGCAAAATCTAGCTTCAAATTTTTAGATTTGTGTATTTAATTTGGGGTGTCTACAGAGATCAGGAAACTAGAAGGGACACATGAGGAAGAGAAAAGGCCATAAGGCAGGCAAGGGGTTGGAACACCAGTAGATGGGGGGACACTGGGAACTAAAGATTTAAGCAGAGATAGGGGCTGGAAACAGTGGGGAGTAAAGGGTTGGGGTGCATTAACTGAAACTAAGGCTCTATGAAAAGGGATTATGGAAACACACTGCTTTATAAGCTAATTTAAATTAAATATGTCATTTTTAAAAAGGAATTTGAGTAGGAAGTGCATTGCATGGATGGACAATTCTTTCCTCCAGAACACCTGGGTTACTAAATAAAATCTCAGTCCCAGTCATGGGCTACCTGTCTATGAGTCATTGGTCAGGGAGGCCCCAGAGGCACACCCACCAAAACAACAGACACTATTGCTCTTGGTTGCTCAGCATAAGTAGAAGGTTCCTGAAGACACAACATACTTAGATTGGAAAACAGAGAAGTCAAACTGGAACTGACCTGAAAACATCCTCCCTGTTGGCTAATTTTCACAGTGGTAGAAGGCACAAGGCAGGCCACTGGAGGAGAAAAGTCATCAATGGAATACCCAGCAGTGGGTTCTGCAAGCTACATCCTGCCAGGCAAGATATGCCTACTGGTACAATAATAGCACAACTAGTGTGGTGTGTGTGGGGTGTGTGTGTGTGTGTGTGTGTGGAGTAACCAATTGCTTTCTGATTGGATTTTGGCTTGCTCTATAGGAGATAATTCACACTTGGTACTGTAAACCTAACCCAAAGTCCATGGCTGGGGAGGTCATAAGGCATTAGAGGGTAACCTACTACTGCTGTTTTGCTAAATGGACATGCTGTCAAACCACCTTTTAAATATGTATTTTATACCCATCTATGAGTGCTGCTCTCAACCTTGGTTAGAGAAAATGTTTTTTGCAGTGAGTAGCAACCAATGCAGAATTGTAACTGGTCAAAGTGCCAAAAATAAGTGACATGGTTAAGTGCTTAGCCCTAAGTAAGACATTTGTATTAGCCCCCCTCAAGGACCAGGGACATATCAGAAAGGGGACAGAAAGAATGTAAGAGCTGAAGGATGGGGAGAGTGCAGTGAAATGCTGCATTCTAGACAAAAGACTGCCACTGCGCTCATGCATTCATAACAGCTATGGTTTACCTACACAAGATTAAGCCAGTCAACATTCCATTAGGAATGGGAGAAGGGTTCATGAGGCTCCACTCCTAGCTGAGGAGCTATTGGCAATTGATTGCTGCTTTGGAGAGGGAGACTCATCTTTCTTTGGTGGTACAGCCAATGGTAGGTTGTTTAATCCCAGGTGGATGGCCCTATACCAACAAGCATATAGTCAGCACTAATGGAGTTCAGTGGTAAGGACACTTGCTGCCAAGCCTAAGATCAAACCTAAGTTTGATCCCTGGACCCACATTGTGAAACTGTGCTCTGATCTACACACACAAATAGATGTTAATAAGTAATTTTTAAAATGATAGTGTAAGGGATCTAAAAAAAAAAAAAAATGGGTCAGTGGTTAAGAATATTTGCTGTTCTTCCAGAGGAACCTAATTCAGTTCCCAGCACCCACATGGAGGCTCAAAACCATCTATAACTTCAGTTTTCAGAAGATCTGATGCTCTCTTCTGACTCTTATGGGCACCTGCACACATGTGGCATACATACAAATGCGTGCGTGTTGCGTGCGCGCACGCACACACACACAAATAAAAGTGAAATAAAATCCTTTTTAAAAACCACAATCAAGTTGGAGAAGAAAGTAGTGGAAAGAATTGGAAAGAGTAGGAAGGGGATTTGGGTTGGATATGATTAAGAAAATTGTACACATGTATGAAATTATAAAAGAATAACTAAAAATTATACTTTAAAAAAAATCTCTACTAGAGGCTAATTGGCTCCTCTTCCTGAGGACCTGGGTACAATTCCCAGCATCTACACAACCATCTGTAACTCCAGCTCCAAGGGCTCCAACGCCTCTCCTAGCCTGTGGCCTCTGCAGGCACCAGAAGTGCATGGAGCACAGACAAACCTAGAAGAAAACACCTATGAATGTAAAACATTTTAAAATTTAAACTGGAAAGTCCTCTGTCTATCTGTCACTAAGCCTGACAGACTCTTAAAAAATAAATCCCCCCACACTCACTCATGTTGACAGGCTACTATGGGCCAGGCACTGTCTAGGTGCCAAAAAGAGGCAGAGAATAAGGCCAATTTTTTTTTTTTTTTTTTTAACAAGGGAGGAAACTTCTGCTTACTCATGGCAGGAAAATGGCCAAGGCCACAGCTTTACAAATGTCTTCTTGCATTCATTTGTAATATTATAAAGAATGCCACCTAACGGCTGCCCCTAGAGCTGCATAACCAGCATCTCAACTCTAGGTCCCTCACTGAAAGGAAAACCTCTCCAGAGATGGAAGGCAATTGCACAGGGAGGAGTTGACCTCACTTCAGTGCAGACCCAGATCCTCCTGGACTGAAAATGCACCAACCCCAACTCACATCATCTAGAATGCTTTGTTTGACTACGTCTGGATTTCAACTCATCTTAGGAACCTCCTAGCTAGAGAAGGACCAATGGCAGTCATTAAAGAGGGCCACAATTACACAAAGTCATATTCTATTTACTAGCCAACAAAATCCAGGCCCCAAGCACAGGGCCTACAGCACTTTCCACCAGCCTTACCGGAAGTCCCCTGTGGACCTGCAGGAGAAGAGGACACTTTGCTGATGGCTGAGCCCTGATTCTTGATGTCATACGCATTCCGGTAAGTAGAGAGCAGTCTGCTCACCAGGTCAGAACTTACACCCAACCTTTCCAATTTCTCCAGATTCTCCGAGTTAGTGAACTCGTGGGACCTCTTACAGCTAGTGCCGAATTTGCACTCTCCCTGTAAGTAGTACTGGCAGATGTGGAGTTTAATGCATTGCTTTTGAAATGAGCAAGAGCCGAAGGGTCCATCGCCTTTGTTGTAATGTAGGCAGATCTGTTGACAGAGAGGAAAAAGACATCAATCCATGAACACTGTACACAGCACACCTCCTCAATGGCCATGCCATGGGGGAGAAGGGGCCTCAGGGTCAATGTATTATTTTACCATTCACATGGGCCATAGAGAGCTCATCTCTCACTTAAGACATGGATACCAAAATATTCCCTAAGATAAAATTACTCCGAACATGCCTCTCCCCGGGGAAAACCAAAGAACTTCAAAGGATCCAGAACAGTAGCAGCCTTCTATCCATCTACCCTTACCCCCACACATAGCCTCACCAAACCTAACATCCCTTTCTAGATAATTTCTCCCAATTTTCCTTTCTAAATTCAAAGTCAGAGAGGTTCTGAGGGCTAAGGCATCTCAGAGAAGGCCAAATACCACCCCTTCACTTCTCAATGGAAGTGGAAGACTCCGAAGCTCAAAAGCCAGAGGCAAAAAGACACCTGCTGCTCAGGCCTGAGGACCTGGCTCCAATACCAGAGTCCATCTAAGGTAGGAGAGAAGACCAGCTCCTGGAGGTGTCCTCTGACCTCCACACTGGGCACACTCACACGCACCCTTGTACACATGTACTCCTAGCAAAGCTAATACATTTTATTAAGATTTCATCAGCTAGCCCCAGTCATACAGCTAGTCCTTGTATTTGTTGTTTGTTGAACCGGGTTGTTGGCAAACTGCAACTTTTTTTCTGGTTTATTGATACAAGGTCTCCCACAGCCCAGGCTGGCCTCAACCTCCATAACTAAAGGAAAGATGAGACCTAGTCCTCTGCCTCCAACTGCTGTGATCACAAACACACACCAACCTCACTGAGGAGCCAGCCCAACTGACAGGGAAGGAAAAGCTTCAAGAGGTGCCAAGGCTGGTCCAAGACCAGAGGAGCTGGCTAGTAAATCCAGCATATTTAGTTAGCACAGCTGGATATTAAATCCAAGTCTCCTCCATGCAATGGTTGGTGATCAAAATGAGGTTCTCCGTTCTCTCCAGCATTGAGTTCTCTATCTGCCAACCATCTGGCTTCTCCACTAGTACTTCAAAGAAGCCCTTAAGCCCCACCCTCCCTCTGGCACTCACTTCCGGTAAAAGCCAGGGGTCATTCTGAATCAAGAGCTGGCAAAGCTCATTATAGGTGAGGTGGTCAACACCATGAGTTCTCAGCACACTCAGGTTATGATCAGTCTTCAAGTTGTGACCGTTCCTACAGTTCTTCCTGCAAAGAAGCAGAGACGGTGTTAGGGGCTAAATCTGATCTCCCCAAGCCCCCTGATTAGAGCCCCAACTTCCAGATCCTTGGGGTGTAAAACTCTTTTGGAGACAGTCATGAGAGAGGTAATTACATTAAAATGAGGTCATTAAGAGTGGCCCTAATCCAACATGACTTTAATAAAAATAAAAGGAGACTAGGGCATAGATCCATATATAAAGAAAAGGCCTGTGAGAACCCCAGGAAGAAGGTGGCCATCTGAAAGCCACAGGAAGCAACCTCAGAAGAAACCAACCTGCCCAACACCTCGTCTCAGAATTCCATCCTCCAGAATTGTGAGAAATACTTTTTTGTTGTTTAAGCCTCCTGGTCTGTCTATCAGGTTTTATAACATACACCTGTAATCCCAACACTCAGAAGCTGAGGCAGTGGGATTACAAATTCTAGGCTAGTGGGACAATATAGCAAGCCTCTATGAAGGAAGGGAGGCAGGAAAGGGAAGGAATGAGAGAGGAGAGAAGAGAGAGAGGGGGAGGGAAGGAGTAGGGTCAGGCCACCCAGTCTATGGTATTTATGGCTGACTTACAGAGCTGGTGAAATTGTTCTTCACAGCAGTTTTTCACAAACACTTCCTGACCCTACTTATAAGCAGCAGAGAAAAAGACAGCTATGCTTGCAAACGTGACTATTTACCAGGAAGAGCTGAGACTGAGCAATGTATAGACACCAGACAACATGTCTCAGCAGGTCCGTAACGAGAATGGCAGGGCCATCGTGAAAAAGGTCTCACAGCACACTGGCCACTCAGTAAGCACTTCAACGTGAATGCAAAACCTGAGTAGGGGCAGGCATGATAGCACACGCCTTTAATCCCAGCGCTCAGGAGGCAAAGGCAGGCGGATCTCTGTGAGTCAAGGCCAGCCTGGGCCTCATAGTGAATTCCAGGACAGCCGGGGCTATGGAGAGTCAGTCTCCCCGCCCCCCCGCCTCACACACACACACACACACACACACACACACACACACACACACACACACACACACACCATGCAAAAAAAAACCAAGAAACTGAGTAGGGGTAGAGCATGGCTCAGCAGTTAAGAGCATTATACTGCTCTTCCTGAGGTCCTGCATTCAATTCCCAGCACCCATGCTGGGTGTCTCTCTTCTGACTCTGAAGGCACCTGCACTGAAGTACACAAACCCCTTCAATCTACCCCCACACAGACACATAATTAAGAATAATCAAAATCTACAATTGGATCAGGGAACCCTCTGGAAGAGGAGGTGAAAAGACTGTACGAACCTATGCAATGGAAGACACCAAGGAAGCAAGGCCTTCTAGATACAACAGAACTGATGCAGATATGAGCTCATAGAGACTGTGGCAGCATGCACAGGCCTGTACAGGTCTAAGCCAGATGAGCTCCCAGCGCTGAGAGGGCAAGTGGACACAACCCCATATCCCTAACCCAGAAGCTACCTGTAACTGATAACCTCTCCCAAAGGAAAAACTGTGTTTCTCCAATGGAATCTCACTTGATATATAAAACACCTTCAGATGTGTTGGCTCAGATGGCCAACACAAAATGAACTCGATGGCATTTTTGGAAGCTTTTGTGATGTGCAATGATTTGCTGGGTATTTTTTTTATCCTACAGACATTCTGATTATCTATTATGGTTTCTGATTTTATTTTTGAAGAGTTTTCTATGTATGTGAATGTATGTGCCTCAGCATCTGAATTAGTTTCTTGTAATTCTTCTGTTTTTTTTTTATTTCTCCTCCTCCTCCCTATCACTTTAGATGCTTGCTTTTATTCTAATGAAAGAATGAAAGAATGGGTATGGATTTGGGTGGGTGTGTAAATGGGGAGGATCTGGGAGGTGTTGGTGGAGAGGATACTGTAATAGAAATATATTGTATAAAAATATATTTTCAATAAAAATGGTTTTTTCTATCACAAAAAAAATCAACATCAATCTTTTTTTTTTTTTTTTTTTTTTGGTTTTTCGAGACAGGGTTTCTCTGTGTAGCTTTGCACCTTTCCTGGAACTCACTTGGTAGCCCAGGCTGGCCTCGAACTCACAGAGATCCGCCTGCCTCTGCCTCCCGAGTGCTGGGATTAAAGGCGTGCGCCACCACCGCCCGGCCTTTTTTTTTTTTTTTAATGCTAAGCAGAGTGACTCATGCTTCCAGGTATTTGTACACGTAGACACACACACTCCTGGGTCCAACCCTTCTGCAGCTCCCCTCCTCCATGCTTTCAACCCACAAGCATCTGGTGAGCACTTATCAACCAGACACTAGTACTCCACCCTAAGAACTCAGGGACAAATCTTTAAATGACTGTGGCAGTCACCTGGAAAGCCAGGTAAGCAGCGTCTGCCAGGCCTCATTTAAGGTCTCGAAAGAATGCCAAACTCCTGATCCATTCCCAAACCCTTTTCTCCTACTAGCTCTCCTGCAGATCAAAAACCCAAAGAGTCATCCTTGACTCCTTGCCCCCACCTGGTGAATGCAACAGAAAAGAACTCAAGTAAGGAGAGGAAAGTTCGAGGTCAGCTGTGGTAAGAAACCAATAGCACAAAAGAGAAAGGGCACTGCAGAGTCCGGATTGGGTAGAGAAATGAGGAATAACCAGGAGAGGCCATCAGAAAGTATAAAACAAACAAGCCAAATACTCAGCGGGTTAGGGAAGAGCTGACAAGGGGAGACGAGAAGGGAAAATAATTGGTGCTGCCAATGCCAACTACACCAAATAACTGCAATAATGACAGTTACAATCTATTGAGCATTTCCTATGCACAGGCGCTGCCTAAACGTCTCCTGAGTTAACTCAGTCCTCAATGAACCTGTGAGGTAATCATCTTATCAGCGTTGAGGGAGCTGAGACTTGGCCATTAAAGCCACTTGCCCAAGATTACCAGCCAGCAAAGAGCAGAGCTGGGTGTAACAAGGTGACGAGCTCATGGGACCATGCTCCTGAGGACCAGGCACAGTGCTTCCTGAGCACAAGCCTGCAAGTCAAGAACTGAAGACTCCTTGGGCTTGTCTCTCACAGAGCTAATCCTGTGATTACGAAGACAAGTCACAGGAAAGTACAGTTAGTCACATTCACTTTCCATTTGCCATTGAAAAAATGTCTCAGGTAGTTTAGGAAACTACCTAGTCTAAATCACGGGCTAAAACAAAGGTGAAAAATGAGGAAGAAGAACCAACTCGGTAATGTAGGCCAGTAAACAGAAAACGTTCAGATTTCCAGTACGAAATCTGAACCCAAATTTCAGGAATTAGCATGAGAACAGATCTTCCTTCCATGATTATGTTACCAATTAAGCACATTATAAAGATTCACCAGGCAGGTACAATGGCGCATGGCTTTCATCCCAGAAGCAGGCAGATCTTTGTGAGTATGAGGCCAGCCTGGGCTACATAGTAAGCTCCAGGCCAACACAGCGAGGCTGTCTCAATCCCTTCAACATCCCTGTCACTGCATGCCCCCAGCCACCGCCTGTTACGGACCCTCTTTCTCTGGGCTGCTGCTCCTCCTTCACCCCGAGATTCATCATCCTCGCTAGACAGATTCCCTAGAGTTCAACCGTCTCCGCAGACACACCTTCTCCTCGGATCTGGTCTACTCCTGTGACGGGGGCCACAGGATTTACCGCCTAGCAGCTTCCAAATCAGTACATAAGGATTTGGTCTTCCCTTTAAATAACAGAACTCAAACTCTCTCCTGCCTTCAGGCCACGGTGGGAGCAGAAGCACGAGGCATCTGCTCCACAGCCCTCTCTTCACACTGTCAATCTCTCACACACATTCTTTGTGAAGTTCTAGATTATTTCTGAATAGCTGAGTCCTAGAGACCGCGTTACCCAGGCCATACCCCTTAGGTAGGTCGGGAGACGGCTGAGCTTCGGCTAGGTGGGATATTTACCTCTTCTAGACCTGTCCCGCACAAACCTCCCACCAGACCCTCTACCGTCCAGATTTTCCTTCAACCTCTAGAACCTGATGCTTAGACCCGCCTCCAAAGTGTTGAGGGCACAGCTCTATTTGTCAGCCTGGATCCCTGAATGACTACATGGATCAAGGTTACTAACCCAAGGTGACTATTAGCCTGACATCAGAAAAAAATAATGTCTACTACGTTACAGCAAAAGGAAGCTGAAGAGGGAAGAAACTAATTCTCCTAGATAACTGGACTAGCTTCGAAGCAGGCAGTCTCAGCATCCTCTGCTAACTCAGCATCTACACCATTACCCACACATCTTCCTAAAATGCAAACCTGGTGGCGGCCATCCAACAGGCCTTATCACCTTCAAGGTGAGGCCCAAATTCTTCAGTGTACACCAACTTCACTAATCACGTATTTATTATAGGCAGGTGTAGTGGAGAGCCCGCCCAGACTAATAAGGAGAGTAAACAGTGTGATGTGGAAGGGTGCCGAGGAAGAGCTCACGAACGACATATTCTTCCGGCTGCTGCCCGAGACCCTGCAAGAGCAAATCAGGACAGGCCAATGCCACCAAATGAACCAAAGCTGGGGGTGGCTGTGTAGAAAGGCACCCAAGAGGACTAGGGGCTGCGGGAACCAACAGTTCCCTAAGGACCTTGAGAATCTGAGTTCCTGCTTCTAGGCAGACAAAAAGGAGTTGAGAGACGCTTCTGAGGGTTCTTGCAGATGCGCTTGTTCGTTTGTTCGCAAGCCTTGCTGCCTGCCCCTCACAGCTACCTGGCCGGACTCTGCCTCAACTTCCCTCCCGGGAGCCATGCTCAGGTGCCCCTCCTGGTACCACATTCGCTATAAGCCACTCCATCGCGCAGTGCCAGCCACTAAGGAGGTGCTCAATGTACGTTCCCGAGAGTGAAGGACAGGCGAGGCTGCGGAACGGTCACCTCGTCGGCCGCCCCAAACTCGGGGACGGGGGAGGCGGCCGTGGAGGCCGGGGAGTGGAGGGAACAGGGGGCCTCCGCCCCTCGCCGCCCGCGGCGTCCTCCTTACCCGGTCCTCAGGAACTTGCAGGCGCCGTAGATGAGGAACTTGCAGAGATGCAGCTGCGCGCAGAGCCCGGTGCAGCTCGGCTTGGGGCCCTGGTGCGCGCGGCACAGACGCAGCGACGACACGGCCAGCACC